ACAGCAAAATGCTAAATAGACTTTACTGGGAAGTCTGTCACCTCTGCCATCTGCAGCATGTATTTACATAAAAGAGACAAAAACATGAAGGGATTTTCATCCTGTTTTTCTCCCATCTCTCTGTTGTAACCCACAGCCACATCTCCCTGCACAGAAGAGAAATGGATGGTGAACCTGAAGCCTCCTCTGAGCGAGGGGATGGCAAGTTTTGGGCCTTACAGTCACTCATTTAATGTTTATCTCCACAGAGGTTGAAAATTTTATATGAGTCTGGCATCACTTCTCTGGTGAACTCCACAAAAACCAATCCCTCTACCCACAGAGTCAACAGAAGGATTACAACAGAGAACTGGTCAAATGATGGCCCTTTCTTCTCCTGCTGCCCCTTTGCTTTCAGGAGCAAACCAGCTTTCTTCTCAGATGGAGGAAGCATCTTGCAAGCTTTTATTAGAAATTTCCCAGGAAATGGAAGTCACTAGCACTGGTCAGGAAGCTGAGAAATCAAGATGTGGGGTATGGAGCAGGAGGAAGGACGCCAAATATTGCCATTAAAAAAAAAACAAAAAAACAAAAAACCAAGAAAAACAAACATATAAACTGCTCTTATTGAAAACAAACATATAAATTGCTCTTATTGCTTTAAAAAAAAAAACAAAAAAAAAAACCAAGAAAAACAAACATATAAACTGCTCTTATTGAAAACAAACATATAAATTGCTCTTATTGCTTTGCTCTAGGGATAGAAAATTGTTTGTCTCCAGTAACAGAAGGATGGAGAAACAAGTTACACCTCCACAGCATTTACAAGGATCTGAACAAAGGAAACCTCTGATGGGTCCTACCCCTCGCATCCCCACATCACTGCACTCCACACTGGCTGGAGAACTAGGGAGAACTGAGGAAAACTGGGGTTTTCCTGATCTTATCAGGAAGATTTTCATTTTTGCAAAGGGGAAGATCTGTTGTGGCTCCTAAGGGAGTGAGGCAGGTACTACTTTGGCAGGTTACACCAAAGCTCAAGTCTGTCATTAACACTGCKGGAAAAGACCCTGAAAACTGACTTACATTGCACTGCAATTGCTAAGGGCTGCTGTGCTGCTTCTTCCCAAGCTGCCATCCATCCCTCTTTTTCTCTGCTAAAGATAAACCGTGGATGAAATATTAAGCTTTGGTAGCACTTGACAACCCCCTGCCTGGCATCAGAGAGCACTTCTGCTTTCACAGGTTTAAAGAGCCCAATCACAACAAGCCAGTCACACCAAGAAGGCACGTAAAGGATCACAGGTGAGGAAAGAGATGAAAGATTTTGATTTATTCAATTAAAAGCTTAAGATCCTCTGCATTTACAGCCCCCTTTTTCTCATTGTCCCATAAGMCAAGTAGTTTGGGAGTACTGGGGCACCTGGTTAACCACTCCTAGAAGAAGCTTTGCATCCACCATCCTCAGAATCTTGGATCAGCACAGCCAAGCCTCCCTTTCTAATCCCTTATTGAAATGTAACAATGCCATTACTGGGATGTTTCTTTCCAAGGAAGTCATCATCTGAGTGCCACCCTCACTCTCAGAGGAAGATTTTCATTTAACCTCTCCTCCTTCCACACATCCATATTTATTCCCCCAATAGCAACACAGATCCACTTGCAGAGTTATCAGTAATGGGACTCAGCTYTTCTCTGTTTATTAAAGCTTCTCTCCTGAGTGGGATTAATCTTGGCAGCTGTCTGACAAGAGAGATGATGTGGGAGGAAAATGGTTTTGAAATGGTTTAGAAATGGTTTGAAACTACGTTTCAACTCTTGCTCCATCAGTGGAAGACTATTTATTAACATAAAAATAACCACCAACAGCAAAAATACAGAAATTGCTTTGAAAGGTAACATAATAACCATGTATTCTTTATTTCCTTTTTACTTATGTGGCCACTTTTCAAAATGTTTACATAATAATACAACTCAGGCCACAGCTRTATTTATAATACAGGAGACCCAAAGGTAATTCAGCTTCAAAAATGAAAATTAAGGTGTATTGGGTTTGAGCTAAAATAACAAAATAGAAGTACACCTGGAAATCACAGAAATTTGCAACTGATGCAAAAGAGTCAAAGCAAAACCCTCCAGGAAGGTTCTCYACACCTCAGAGAATCTAATTTAAATAACTAAACATCTCTGAAGATGGTTCTTCAGAACAAAGATTAGTTCTTTCTGGATATCTAGGAATTTAATAACATTCCATTCCCAACTCCTTGACTGCAGTGATGTTTATCACTGCTGTAATGYGTTTAGTGTAGCTCTGAATTATTTTGGTTAAAATATACAGTAAATTTTACACAACACAGCATTTTTGAGCATTTTAGAAGACATGCAGAGCATGGAAATGATGCAGTAATCTGTTTGCATTGTGTTCTGTCATCTATCTTCCCACACTCCTGAAAAACTGACTTAGTTCCTCATGGGATTTACTTGATTAAACAATATTAATTAAGTGAACATCTGGGCTGTTTTTCAGCTAATAATTAAAATTATCTAGGAATTGTAACCTCCTTAAAAGTTAAAAGTATACAGAATAAGTGCAGCCCACTTTCTCACATTTGGGTAGGGCCAAGCAACTCCAGTATTTRCCACAACAGTTCCCAAGAGATTCTTACAGCCCTGTGGTGAAAGTTTTGTTCCTGGCTAGCCTGACAACAGGAACATTTTATTTTTGGCTTCATGCATTAACATATTAACCATGACAGAGCTGACATTTGCTGCWAAGTAAAATTGATTGTAAATGGTCTAGAAGTCTGCCATTACATTTAGAAATTACTTCTGGAGTGAAATTAAGTACTGTCAACACAACTCCTGTTTCCATTTATMCACAAATTTGACAGGAATTTTTATGACTTCTCAAAACTTCACATAGAAAAGAAAAAGGGAGATAAGACTATGATTTTAATTGCTCTCAAATTGTACYATACAAAGCAACTGACCTATATGATATCATAAGAGAGCAAGGATAGTCCAACAGGACAGGCCAGATGAAAAAACGTCATGTTACTCATGGAAATGAAACATTGCTTCATCCCCCTTCCATCTTCCAATCACTAAGTCAGAATTCACACAGGATCATCCTTTTCCTCACATGGGAGGTATTCTCAGTTATTTGAACACAGGGCTTTATTCCCTGAGATAAGGGAGGGAGTCATTGGTATGCAGCACCAGGATRAGGTGGAGATTATCATGAAAAATGAGATTTCACTGCACGTGGCAGAAGCCAACTGGGAGTCTAGAAACTGCAAATATCAGATGGCTACAAAAGGGAACATCTCTAAATGAGAAAGTGTATTCACTTCAGCTGTTCTTAACARCAATGCAGACACTTAGTCTAGAGGTATCGATGCAAGAGCCATTCTGGAATTAGTACAGGAGTGCTCAGACATGTAATATTAGACCGAAGTGAGAATTGGTGGTTTGATACAAATATCACAGGCATTTGCAAATTTTTTACAGGCTTACAGGAATATTTMTTTTCAGTACAGCATATGGACTGACTGCACAATGACTGTACTCAGCCACTACTATTGAATGTTCTCACTTAATTTTGTGCTTTTTCTCTTAAATTTTCTCATGCACTTTCTCACAAATTACTTTAGAGATTGGGTGGTTCAGAAAAAGGGAACACCTCTCAGGACATTAGYKTTAGTACCCACYAATTGTAGATTTTCCYCAGTGATTTATTTTCTRATCACTGCTTTGTAAAGAAAACAACGGAAACCTGAGAATTTTCATTCAAGGCAGGTTGGACAAGTCTCTTCCTCATAACACCTCACCTCTATGTGGTTTCTCTTTAGAGAAGAGGATGAGGAAGAAGTGCCCTAGAGCAGCCAGCTATCAGCATCTGGGAACAGAGCAATGGGGCAGGCAGCACCTGGAACCTGTGTGATTCCCTCATATGGCTGCCAACCACAGAAATTATCACCCATGGGCATCCCAGTGGGACCTGGGCATGGAACCACTTCAAATTTCTGCAGAAGCAGGAAAATTAGGCTGGGAATCCATCAGACGTTTCTTGCTCTGGTATAGCAACAACAGTTATGATCTTATTTAACCTATTTTCCTTTTCTTCCTATTCAAGTCTCTCATTGTCATGTGTGTTCCAATAACACAAATCTGGCAATCCCATTCTGTCTGGAACAAAAGTTTTCCCCCCTCTTTTTCGCTCACAGTGCAGAGAGTTGAAATCTTACTGAACTACTGAAAAATTATCTATTTGCTGTCATGGTATCATTCCTCAGGCTGATCTACTTTCTTTGGGAAGTAAACACACTTTTTGTTCTACCTGCCCTATCTCCAGCCCAGTATTAAACTAGTGTAAAAACTCTGCATATAAGGAAAAGAGTTTTTCACTACTAGCTCACAGCCTTCCACAAAAAGGGGTCTTTTGCTCTTGTCTGAGAGGTTTATGTTTCTGAAAACTGAGCACACAATTTTCAGACTGCAATCAAGAGCCTCTAAAAGAACTACTWAAGTTTGACAGCTCAAACTCCTTTAGTAACYGGTGTTTATAATATTCCCTGAGAAKAAGGTAATCTATGGTGATTGGAGGGAAAGTGCTGCYATTCACACCACAAGGTATTCAGGGCTGGATAACCATGGATAGCAGGATTGATGGACAGGGCAAACAGGAGATGAGCCTTGGATGGATTCTGTCCACATTAAACATTGCACAGAGATGACCTGGAGACCATGGCATCACTGATATTTACTGGAGAGAGGAATGTAGGACTATTTATAACAGTGAAATAAATTCACAGGGAATGTAGGATTATTTGTAACAGTGAAATAAAAATAAAACCTGAGGCTTTTTGGGAAGTGTGTCCATACAGAAGCTACCAAGCTTGAAAGAAGCATGGGGAAAAAAAACCCATAATCACAACCACAGATTCAATCATCACCCACATCTCATAAAAAAAAATGGTCAATGTCACAAAGAGAATTGCACAGAAAGATCCAACACTTACCCTGGAGTCCTTTTCCAGACGAAGCTTGTGTTGRAGGCTGCGTCTTCTCCTGGCTTTAGCAAGACCATTGTGATAAAAGAAGTATCCAGATTCTAAAAAAGGGAGCTGAGTAAGAGAGAGAGAGAGAAAAGAAAAACCTTCATGGAGCTATTAGCTATTAATAAGAATGACAAGAAAACTTTCACCTGTGAAGTGATTCAGGAATCTTCACATGAAGATTTTTGAAGTATTATGCTTAAGTGCCCAAATCACTCTTAAGGATGCCACTCCTAAGTTTTTTTTTTGAAAGATGCACCAAGCAGCATTAAAGTTGCTTCTACAGGTTTACAGTGCATAACTTCACTTGTATACACTCCTTACTCTCTCCACCTTATATTTCAGGTTAACAGTGCCAATATTTCTGGGCACTACAAAGCACAAGAGGAAGCATTCACTATTTCCTGAATAAGCCAAAATAAAAATAAATAAATAAATAAATAAAAGAACTGCAAAAGATCTGAAACTCCAGAGAGAATCCCTCACCAAAAGAGACTTACACAAGTGCTTTGCTGAGCTGTTGTAACACACCCTAACAGGAAGAAATAAAGAAATTAAAAGAGAAAAATACAATACTTGGAATTATAGAAATACCCGCTTATAGAAAAATACAATACTTGGAATTTCTTCTGACCACGCCAAAATGGACCATGCAAAGCATATTAAGGAAACAGACAACTCAGTGTTCAGGTGGGAGCAGTGTTCTGCACCTTAAATGTCCAAGACATTTAAGGAGCAAGCAAACACCTCCAGAGGGCTGCCCATTATTAAACACATTTCTCTCCTCAGGACTGGCAGACAGGAACTGGAAGGCTAATAGACATTTAGCTTTTAGAAGGCTAAAAGAACAGCATCCCAATTCCAGTACTTGACTAGGAAGCTCCACTTGAATCTCAAATTCAGAGCTCTTTCCCCATTTGAACTTAATAGGGACACTCCAGTTGAACATTTAAATCTAAGCAAGTAACTGCAATTTTTCTAACTCAGCTTGTCCTTGTAGAAGTTGAAAAAAGAAAAAAAAAGGTTGGGAAATTATATATTAATGGTGTGAACATTTCAATTTCAAAGGTTCGACCACCCCGCATGTAAAGTTACATTTTAAAAGGTATAGTTTAGAAAAGCTATGACAGCCTACTCCTCTCGTTTTTATTATCTATTCTTCACAATAACATAAACATCTTAGCAGGAGTTCAAAGTTCTTTCCTGAAATACTAAGGCTAGTTTCTAGGTAGAATAGTGGTTGTGAAAACCTGAGCTGAATATGGGTAGAAGCATCATGATACCATAAAACAGATTCTGTTCCTGTGTACAGTTATATACAGTGCACAAATATAAATTGCCTTCCTCAAAATTATCTCTTGTTTCAGTCAATCTATCACTATATCTAGTACAGTTCCACAAACATGTTTTACTGTACATGTGAAGCAGTGTGGAAATAGAGTGTAGTGAATTCTGAGAGTTTAAAATCTGATGATTCCTAAAATGAGTATGCAAGTTTGGGTTTTCTTTTTCTTCAAAGTACTTTGTAATGTTAATTGCAACATTTTCTATCACTGAAATCAAAGCATTTAATTTTCATGTTTAGAGTTTCCTTTTCTATGGTACATAAATGCAAATTAACTTAAAAAAAATCAAAGCATTCTGTTCTGATAAAAGACCTCTTTTAAAGTGTTTATAAAAGGTTCAGATTTAATCAAAATCATTATGGTTCCTTGAAGCTGATCTGCATGGCTGACTGGAGAGCTTTTCTGGGTGAATAATCAGGATAWCAAACTTCAGTTCCATACACGTGGAAAAATACAACAGTTGAGGTAGAAGGAGAAAGGAGAGTATGAAAGCTCACAGTAGAGGCCACAATAATCTCTGCACTTCATAAATATCCTCAGAGTCACAGCTTTGAAGGTTCAAATTCTGTCTGGGTTAGATAACTGTTTTAAAAAGCAGATTTACTAATCTGATCTAAACTTGTGTCCAACACCTTTAACAACCAGGTAATCAGGAATTTACACAACCCAGAGTTTGGGAATAGATCTGGCTCTCCAGGAAAAGGCCCTTCCCCCATATTAGATACCTTACTCTAGGCCTCAAAAACATGCAGGGGAAAAAATCTAAATAGGCAGATCAGTTATAGCTTGAAATCCATCCTWTTGTGTTAACCATTACTGCCCTTTGCTCCTGTGGCCCAATTACCCCTCTAATTTTCTCAGTGAAATCRGGCTGCTTTTCTTCCTTTTACCTCAGTATCAACCATTAAAATCAATTTCAGTCAAATATTGATCTTGATGYTCTCCCATTAAGGATTAGTCTAAGCAGTTTTGAAGATGTCTGGAAATACATAAGAGATTTATTTTCTATACATGGTTAGTCTCTAGTGCCTCTTAGCATGAAGCAATATATTATATAGTAASCTTTTAAAACTGGTGTATTCAAGTCTGACCATGTGCAATTAYAATTAGTACAACAATGACCAGATTTACAAAGTCATGAATAAGTTTTATTAAGACAATTCCACTCTTTCCACAGTTACCCCGGTAATCTTAGAGGAACATGGGTATTTTACAGATCGAATAGTTTTTCACATTGAATCAATTAAACCTGGAGGGGGACACACAGGAAGGCAAGGCAGTGAGTCAATACCTGAAAGATTACATGATCCAGCACTGTGGATTATGAATAATTAATTGCAGAAACCAAGTAATTTTCAGGAAGAATCTAAACTCTGCAGTAAATCCTTGAAATTAATGAATTTACGCGTTAGAGAAAGGGCCTAAAATGTCAGGCTTTGATGAGGATTTTGCACTGAATTCTGTGAATATCACAAGAAATGACTGAAGCCTTCAGTTCTGAGGGACTCCTGCTACTGAGCCAGTAATTTTTTGGCAGCAGCCAAATGGAGGACACAGGTAGCTCACAGCAGGATTTATATTTTCACTATCAGCTACTCCAAGAAGTTTCCTCTGATGTGAAGCTCCAGGARAAGAGTAAATAGTAAAATGAACAGTACATACAATGAAGTGAAATGAAACCAGAAGATCTCCTGAACATAAAGACTCTGAAGTGTCATGGGCCATATCTACTCTGTAATGTTGTAGTTGTAAAGCTGAAATTATATTGGAGTAAAATTCCTMTTCTGGCAGCAGCAGGCTCGGCATGTAACATTGAACAATAATGAACTCAGCCTGGTGGCTCAAGTTCTTTCTGTGAGACAAAAGCAAAGCTTTCTACCCTCAGAGAAAGATYAGTAATTAAGTAAAATAACTAATTACTGGAAAGCAGTTTAATATTCAAGTGAGGAGGATTCTTTSAAATTAGAAAAGGGCCTACTTATTGCCTTGAGGMATAAATATTGTCCATTACAAAGCAYGACTTTTAGAATCCCAGGGATTACAAGCACTTCATTACTTGCAATATTTGTATAAAAGTACTGGTGAAAAATACATACAAACAAAACCAGAATCACAAATACAAACCAGCAAGTAGAGCAAAACATTTTATATCCACCTGTCTCTTTCTTTTTTTTTCACACTGGCAGCCTCCTCGTGGTTATTAATAATACTTTCTGAATAAAAAATGGAATCTGTTTAACCCCCTTCCTGAAAGAATGTGGAACAGAAAATAACTCTTAAAAATTCAGTGCTCAACTAAATGGAGGAAAGAAAAACTCTTTCAATGGAAAAGGCTTATTTGAAAGCAAAATAGACTTGATGATTGACTCTTTTCCAACCTTAACGATTCATGACTCTATGAAAATGGCTAGAATGTACCATTTGGTATAGAAAGAAGTAGGAAAAGCTTCATTTTGTGCACAGYTTTAGCCCCAATACATCTGAGTTGTCTTAGCTGTTCTCAGGCTGCTGCTCAACCACAGAAGTTGAGGTAAAATTATTATTGAAATAAAAATAAGTTCAATTCGTGGTTCTCATCTTTCCTGTGCTCTCATCCTTACATATTACAGTCTTTCCCCAGCAAGCAAAGAGAATGACTGTGCTGCCCTGGGTGCCACTGCTGGGAGACACAATTCTCCCTTTGCCAGGCTCAGGCATTGCTCCTGAGAGCAGCGTTGAAAAAAGATAATCCACTCTGAGCCCTCAAGGGCTCTTAGAAGGAAAAATCAGGTACAAAGTAGCCTTTTCCACAGAGATACCTGATCTAGGATGGGGCAGCACACATGGGTCCCTCAGAGCTGATGGCTCCCAACTTGTCTACTTGACACAGAAAACCAAACTGCCCTTCTTTCTTGGTCTTGCCTTGAACAATAYACACAGTGACACCAGATGCAGTTTCACCCGTCACAAAGCAAAGGAAATCAGGATCAGCCGCAAAGCAGTGCAGAAGGTTCAAGAAAAGCCCCAGAAAGATGAGAATCACATAATGCTCCTCATTCTAAAACTGCAGCAACTGAGGCCACCATGGACAGAGCTAACACTGAAAACAAGCAGCAGCATCTYCTGGCCAGAAAAGTCCATCTAGCAAAGGTATTATGAAGGAGCAATAAATTCTTAAGAAAATGCTCAAGTCTAATAAAGTCATTGGCATCAGTACTTCACGTGGCTCTGGAGAGGTCCAGCATTCACAGACTGTCACCAGTATAAAGAGGTAACAAATACAATGCAATAATAAAGATGAACATCTGTTCTAAGGCTTATCTTTAACATCAAATTTCACTGGCCCCTTATCTTCMACATTTCATTTTACTGACTCATTGCAGAGCTCTGTCTACACACATTGTGCATTGGTGCCTACAAAAAGCTTTAAAACAACGTGTATTGCCCCGTCTTGTTTTAATGGGAATTATCTCTGCCCAGCCTTCCTTTCACAGTGTTTCACATAATGCAGAATCCCTACAGCACACTGCTGGTTTTTGTGCATCATTTCCAATAATTTCTCCCCAARAGTGTAATATTCTAAAATCATTTTACTTGAATATTTTGTTAAGGTTCCTCTCCCGAGTTACTAGTGGGCACAACAGTCTGCAACAAATTTCTTTTGAGCAAAATCATTTATAAATGCAAGCACAGGGTGATTTATAGGAATTACCACAGGGTTCCCTTCTTTGGTGATCAAAATYA